AAAAGTGTTGGCAAATCTGCTCACTCACCTGCCATCTGCCGCCCGTCTTCGGCCTTTGCTGAAAATTTCGATTTTGAAAGCCGCGCAAGTTTTGGCGACTGGCGAATGGTTGCTGGTACTTTAAAGCTTTTGAAAGTTAAAAATTCTAACTTTTGTTGCCATTAATTCATTAATTTGATTGTAATTAGTTTTATTGACCTAGCTGGCTACTTTTATCAATGTAGAATTTAAAAAAAGTTCAATATTTTTTAAAAGCAAAAATCGAATTTTGGCAATTAACTGCCTGATTCACACTTTCACAGAAAAACATTATTTAATTACTAATTACCACAAGAATAAACCTACCTAATTGTTACCATCATCAAACACCCAAAATCTCCTCATTTAACTTTTTTCTGGCTCATCACTTGCTTTCCCTCCACTAGATGCCTCCTGATGTGCCGCTGCTGCAGTGGACACACACTCTCGCAGCAGCAGAAAACAAAAAGTGACTGCAGCAACTTTGGCAGAGAGAAAAAGAGAGGAGAAAGGGCGAGCACGACCACCGCCTAGCTGTCATTGAGCAGAGCTGAGGTAGAAGAAGGGAGACCACAACACACACACACACACTCAGACTGCAGTGTCTACCTGTTCACAAGTGACTAGTGGTAGTACATGTGAGTCAGTGAAGACCATTGCATGCACCACTCGGCGACGACGACAGCGACGACCACCACTGACTGGCAGTGAAGAAGGAGAAGTCTTGTGCCTATGCTTGTCTGTCTAACTTTCTGTCTCTGACTGCGCCTGGTCGTGTCGTCGAGTGAGAGAGAGAATACCACTGCGACAACCACCGACTCCGAAGGAGAGACAGGAGCAGCACCAGCATTACCAGCAGTACCAGCAGTGCCACCACCACCACCACCACCATTACCACCGATCTCGTTTCTTCTGCACCCCGAGAGAAGTGTGCAGGCAATCTGGTCACCTCGCGATCGCCCACTCTTCAATAGTTTACTCGCTCGCTCACTCTGCTGCAGTGTTTTGGTGTGTGTGTTATTTATTATTCTTTCACATCTTCTCGCACATACACTCACTCACACACCTCAGTTCACTCCGAAACCACCTGCCTCATATTCTTTCAATCCCCATTGTGTTCATCATCATCAAAGTGTTCTGAAGCATCAGCTCCTCTTTCTGTCGTACCTCATCACATACTTCTTCTTCTTTGACCTCCTTCTTTGATAGCATCACTTCTACTACTTACCACCACCACCACCTAAATCATGGCCACCCAAAACAACGCCCAGGGCTCACTGTTGGAGGTGCTGAAGAAGAAGATGCGCGCCATGAAGGACGACCTGGAGACGACGCGCGAAGAGGCGGACGAAAACCTGCACAAGTACCAGACGGAAGTTCGACGACGCGAAGAGGTAAGTTCAATTTTTCTCCCAGGTTTTCATTTGAAAATCCCATCCTCTTTTTCTTTACTACCAGCGTATGATGATCATTATTAGTGCCTACACTTGACACTCTTAAGCCCATGAGCTTCTTTTTATGACACACACTCTGCTCTTGGCACTTCTAATCAATCAGCAAACACACAGGGAGAGTGAGAGAGCAGACAAGGAACAGCAGTCACACTTTCACTTTTCTTACTTTAGCAGCTCGCCAGTTCCGTTTTTGGGTTAGGGCGCGGCTACAGAGGCCACCAGAGCGGCTGCATTTGCAATTGCAATTGCTGCTGCTCCTCTTATTCAGTAAAAATCATTTGTTGGTGATGGTGGTAATTATGGGTGCCAGTAGTGGCGGCAGGGCAGTGATGCAGTGTGTGCATCTCCAGCCTTATCACAGCCTTCCTCTTTGCTTGGAGGGAGATGATGATGATGATAAAAGAAGCCAAGTCATGGCAGAAAGCAGTCTTGATTGGTTTGCCTGGTTTGACTTGCTGGCAGTCGCTTCAGTTGTCATCCCAACCATTCCCACCACCACCACCGAGTGCAAAGTCTGAAGGTCAAATGTCAACAGTCTGTCTAGCCAGTGCTGCTGCTGTTGCAGTCAACNCGATTGGTTTGCCTGGCCTGACTTGCTGGCAGTCGCTTCAGTTGTCATCCCAACCATTCCCACCACCACCACCGAGTGCAAAGTCTGAAGGTCAAATGTCAACAGTCTGTCTAGCCAGTGCTGCTGCTGTTGCAGTCAACTTTGCCGTGTCAGCCCTTTCAGCTCGATGATTGCGCCCTTTTTCCCGTCTATAGGCTTCCCTTTTCCCTCTTTCTTTCTATTTGTCTGTCTGTCTGATTGTCTGTTTGTCTGACAAGAAGTGTGTTACATCTCTTCGTTCAGTCAGTTTGCATAGTGTTTTTGCTCAAAAGCAGCAAACTAAATTTTTCTCACTAAAACTCGCATCACTTTTTTACGCTAGTCAGAAAATGTGTCTGTTTACTGCTAAATTGTCACTGCCGTTGTTGCTGATGACGGCTCTAAAAGGCAATTGGAAAAAGGGATGGAAAAGGATGAAAAAGCCGCCGCCGCCGCCGCCGTGCAGGCGGACGACGAGAATGTCAGCGGATGAAACTCACACATACACAGAAAGGCGACAAACGATGTTTGTGCTTTTAGTCAGTACGAAAAAGCAAAAAGAACCAGGCAGGACAAAGTATCAAAGCAACCACTTGTTTGATTGAAGCGAGTTGCCGTGCTTTGCTGCACTCACTAACAAAACATTGAGAGCGCGTGATTTGAGTTGGTGCTAGAGCTTGGAGCGAGTGCTCATTAACGGTGGAAAAAGAGAAACACCTAATTTAAAAGCAAAAACACAAATTAAAACAAACACTGAATGTCAACTTTATCATCCATTCATTTTTGCAGTTCGAAACCGAAGTGGCCACCCTCAACCGGCGCATTCAGATGATCGAGGATGACCTGGAGAAGAGCGAAGAGCGACTCCGCCTGACGACGGCCAAGCTGGAGGAGGCCCACCAGGCGGCGGACGAGAGTGAACGCGTGCGGAAGATGCTGGAGAACAAGACGAACATGGAGGACGACCGAATCGCCTACCTCGAGTCGCAGCTCGCTCAGGCGCGCACCATTGCCGAGGAGAGCGACAAGAAGTACGAGGAGGTAAGTGAGAAGGGGAGATTTGCACAAATACCATTAGGATTTCAAAGTCACGGCTGGTCAAGTGTGTTGCCGTACATTGCACATCCTCTCTCTCTCTCTCATGTTTCCGGCGGCTTTCAACGGATCGCCTTTTGGAGACTCTTTGATAGGCAACTGGGCAACACAGAGGATTGTACACCATCTGCTGCTGCTGCCTTTGTCGTTGTTGATGTTTGTACGGCAGCAGCAGCGGCGGCGGCAGATTTGAAGGCCAGCAGACCGCCTTTTTGTTGTTGTTGCTGCTGCTGTGGGGCATGTTTTGACAGCAGAGTGGTAGTGGCAGTAGTACACAATCGATTGGTTTTGGGCATTGGAAAATCTACTGGAGAGAGAGAGAGAGAATGAAAAACAAAATGATCACGATCTTCTCTTCTGTTTTCGGCAGATGGCTCGCCGCATTGCCATGCTTGAGGCGGATCTGGAGCGAGCAGAGGAGCGCGCTACCAAGGGTGAAAGGTAAGCGGCTGAAGTGAATTTAAACTGTGAATATCACTTTCTAAAACCCGTTGTTATTGTTGTTGCCCAACTGTAGCAAAAGCCTCGAGCTAGACAATGAGCTGCGAATGGTCGGCAACAACCTCAAGTCGCTGGAGGCCAACGAGGAGAAGGTATGTTTGCTGATGAAAGAAGTACAGCTGCTCATCAATTTTTTTAATTTCTATCACACCTACCACTTTTCAGGCACAAATGCGTGAGGAGGTCTTTGAGCAGCAGATCAAACTGCTGAATGGCAAGCTGAAGGAGGTAAGGGAAAAAAANTTTCCATCACACCTACCACTTTCCAGGCACAAATGCGTGAGGAGGTCTTTGAGCAGCAGATCAAACTGCTAAATGGCAAGCTGAAGGAGGTTAGGGAAAAATGATTTGAAAGCTTTTCTGAAACTCAAAATAAAACTTTCTTTTAGGCGGAAACTCGAGCCGAGCTGGCGGAGAGATCAGTGCAGAAGCTGCAAGCTGAAGTGGACCGTCTTGAAGGTAAAAAAAGTTGGTGATTTTTTATAATAACTTATCAAACGTTTTTACAGATGAACTGAGCGGCGAGCGAGAAAGGTCTCACCTGCTTCAGGAAGAGGTGGAGACGACGCTGAAGGACTTGCAGTCCATTTAGAAGTCGGAAACGATTGGCGAAAATTGAAAAGAATATAAAAAATAATTTCCCCATCTCCATCTCCTTCTTCCTGATTTCCAAGATACATTCGCAACCAACCCTGTGCNGAAAAGTTGGTGATTTTTATAAAAACTTATCAATTTTTATTCAGATGAACTGAGCGGCGAGCGAGAAAGGTCCCACCTGCTTCAGGAGGAGGTGGAGACGACGCTGAAGGACTTGCAGTCCATTTAGAAGTCGGAAACGATTGGCAAAGATTGAAAAGAAGATAAGAAATAATTTGCCCATCCCCATCTCCTTCTTCCTGATTTCCAAGATACATTCGCAACCAACCCTGTGCATTCATCCACCAACATTCAGTCAATTCCCCGCTCTTCTGTTCTTTCCAGTTCTCTCTCTCTCTCTCTCTCTCAAACACACCCAAACATTTACGTTCCAGCCACATTCGCTCGCATTTTGCAAAACATTCTTTTTAACCTCTAACTGCCAACATCTTTTCAATTCATTATAATGATGATGATGATTTCCAGGACGAGAAAAGCAATCCTGAAAGCATTCCTGGCGATGATGATTATATTTTTAAATTACTATTTAATCTTTTCTCCTCTTTTTCTTTTGCAGCGTAAATTTTATCGTTTTCCTCTGTTTTCCCCTTGTTTTTGTTCTTTCATTATGATTATTATTCGGATGGTTACAACACACCCACCCACACTTACACTCCACATAACACCGTTCAAAATGCAATTAAAAAATGAAGCTGATTCATTTTATCAAAACATTTTTAATGTTAGAGTTGTTGTATGAGCAAAAAACTTACCACCTCCTTTAGGTGTGAAAGGGTGGCGGCGGTGGTGGTGGGCGTGGCGGTCGTGCTGGTCCCCTTAGCTGGTAGTTGATTGAGGGGTGACAGGTGCTGGAGGTGAACTGCACTGGAGGGGGAAAGCGGGGAGCACCTGATGGGGGGTGAGAAGGATGAAATGGTCCTCCTCGGGGCACTGCAAACCGGGGACTGTATATCCTCGTCACCCGTCCTCTCGCTCCANACGAGGAGCACCTGCTGATGGGGGGTGAAAAGGATGAAATGGTCCTCCTCGGGGCACTGCAAACCGGGGACTGTATATCCTCGTCACCCGTCCTCTCGCTCCAAAGTGACTGTTCGGGAAGAAGCCGCAGCCACGACCGCCGACTCCTCCTCGCTGACTGTGTTTGACGATGCCTCCTCCGCCTCGTAGTCCAAAGNGCGGGGAGCACCTGATGGGGGGTGAGAAGGATGAAATGGTCCTCCTCGGGGCACTGCAAACCGGGGACTGTATATCCTCGTCACCCGTCCTCTCGCTCCAAAGTGACTGTTCGGGAAGAAGCCGCAGCCACGACCGCCGACTCCTCCTCGCTGACTGTGTTTGACGATGCCTCCGCCGCCTCGAAGTCCAAAGGGCCATCCTTTACGAAAAGGTAAAGAATGCAGAGTTTTAATAAACTTTGGCATGAAAGGGGAGCTTCATTTTTATTATATTAAAGAATGGGAGGGCAGAAAGAAGTTCAAACGTTCAAGAGCGGCCTCGTGCACCTCGGAAGCCACCACCTCTATTACCTCTTCCTCCGCCGCTGTTAGGTCCAACACGACCGCCACGATCACCTCCTCCTCCACCAAAACCGCCACCATTGAAATCTCCATCAGGACCGCCACCACCTCCACCTCTTCCTCTGCCACGACCTCGGCCACGTCCACGGCCTCTGCCGCCTCCNCCTCGTCACCCGTCCTCTCGCTCCAAAGTGACTGTTCGGGAAGAAGCCGCAGCCACGACCGCCGACTCCTCCTCGCTGACTGTGTTTGACGATGCCTCCTCCGCCTCGTAGTCCAAAGGGCCATCCTTTACAAAAAGGTAAAGAATGCAGAGTTTTAATAAACTTTGGCTAGAAGATGAGCTTCATTTTTATTATTTTAAAGGAAAGAAGGGAAGGGCAGAAAAATTCAAAATCAAGAGCGGCCTCGTGCACCTCGAAAGCCACCACCTCTATTACCTCTTCCCCCGCCGCTGTTGGGTCCGACACGCCCGCCACGATCACCTCCACCTCCACCAAAACCACCTCCATTGAAATCTCCATCAGGACCACCCCCTCCCCCTCTTCCTCTGCCACGACCTCGGCCACGTCCACGGCCTCTGCCGCCTCCTCCCCTGCCGCCACGACCTCCGCGGAAACCGCGATTGCTCGAGTCGGCGTTGTAGTGAATGCCGCCGGCGCCGTCACGAGCACTGTTGGCGGCGAAACCGCTGGAGTAGTTGCGAATGGCCTCCCTGATGGCGACCACCTCCTCGGCGCACCACAGGCAGCCCTTGAACTCGGTGAGCTCGCCGGGCAGGCGGCCCTTGCCGGGGGGAAACTTCAGCCTAATGAGGCGCAGCTTGCAGGCGGAGCAGCGGTCGGCGAGGACGCTGACGCGGCTGGCGTCCTTGAAGAGTGACATCGTAAAAGGGCACCGACTGCAGTAGACCTTCCAGGTGGGCGGGCCGCTGCCCTGGTCGAGCACCAGCGAGGCGCCGTTGGCCGTGCAGGCCGTACAGGGGCCAATACTGTTGGAGGGCGCCGAGTACTGGCAGTCGGTGTTGGTGCACCGGTTGCAGCCCGACCCCTTGGCCATGTCCTCAAAGGCGGGGTTGGTGAAGCACAGCGGACAGAAGACGAAGCCCTTCGTCGGGCCGCTGTAGTAGAGCAGGTCAAAGTTGTCCAGCGGACACTGCACGTCCTTCCACGTCTTGATCGTGCCGTTGATGGGCACATTGTACGTCTCATTGCAGGTGGGACAGACGAGGCGCTCCGGCTTGGCGGTGATCAGCTTCATGAAGCGGCGGCACTTGCCGCAGCTGTGATGAGGTGTAATGAAATGAACGTTAGTAAAGATCTTACAACTCACCAACAAAATAGGAACCACTTACCGCGAGAACGGCTTGCCACTGTCCACCAGCGAGGTAAAGTTCGACTCAAAGAGCTCATCCATCAGGTGGATCTTCTCGCAGAAGAAGGTGAACTTGCCCCGGTAGTACTCGATGTTCTTCTTCAGCACCGTGCTAAAGTCGAGCTGGCCCTTGGCAATCTGATTGAGCTCCTTCTCCATGTCGGAGCGCATGGTGGGCGCCACCAGCTCCCGGTCGATCTTCTGGTAGCCATGCACCAGCATGATGCCCAGCTTCGTCGGCACCAACGTCCGGTTGTTGCCCAGCTGGACGTAGTTGCGCAGGCAAATGTTGTTGATGTGCGTCGGAATGGAGGCGTCAGTGCCGATGCCGTGCTTCTCCATCAGCGTGATCAGCTCTGCAAGAGAAGAGGAAAGTGATTGGAGAAATCTGTAAATAACTCAAAACTCTTCTTACCTGACTCGGTTAGGTACCCGGGCGCCTGCGTCATGTGACTGTTAATCTTCACCTCCGAGACGAGCACCCGGTCGCCCTCCTTCAGCGACAGCGGAATCGACTGCTCACTCAGCGTGGAGCTGCTCTTGCCCAGAAAGCGACTGAAGCCGGGCTCGACCACCGTCGACGTGGTGGTGCTGAACTTCTGGCTGCCAATGGCCACCACGATGGTGGTCACCTCGCTGATCATGTCCGGCGCCAGCGAGGCCATAAAGTGGCGGGCAATGTACTCGTAGAGGCGCCAGGCGTCGCCCAGTAGCTCGTTGAAATTGGCACATCGCATCGGCGTGATGGGCGGGTGGTCGCCGGCGTCGGTGCCCGACTTGGGCGCGCTGATGCCGGTGCGCAGCAGCTCGCTGACGTCGGCGCCCCAGCTGCTGCTGCGCTCCTGCTCCTGCAGCACCTCGATCAGGTTGAAGTTCTTCGGGTACTGATTCGTCTCCGTGCGAGGGTAGCTGAAAGGTAGAGGAAAAGTTTACAAAAATGTTAAAAATCGCAACCCTTAAGTTTACCTGATGTAGCCCTGCGTGTACAGCCGCTCTGCGTTCTGCATCGCCTGGTGCGGGCCCATGCCCAGCTTGCTCGAGGCGACCTTCAGCATCTCCACAGTGTTGAGCGCCTTCGGCTTGGCCGTGGAGCGCCGCTGCTTCTTCACCGACACCACCGTGCCCTGTTTCGTGTCCTTCAGTGTGTTGTAGAGCGACTTGATGGCGTTGTGGTTGAACTCCCGCTCGCCCATCCACTCCAAACTGAGGTACTGGCGGGCGCTGTTGTCCGAGTCGGGGGCGACCACCGCCGCCAGCGTCCAGTAGGGCGTCGGCCGGAAGCCCTCAATCTCGTCGTGCCGGCCGACGCAGAAGGCGAGCGTCGGCACCTGACAGGGGCCGTAGGAGATCAGCGAGCTGTCCAGATCGCCGTACTTGCCCTGTAGTTGAGGTGAAATAGTTAGTGGTTAGAAAAGTGAAAATTGATCACATCAAAACGTACGTGAAAAAAGCGCGTCTGGTAGCGCGTAAATGAGCAGCCGATGACGAGGTCGAGCTCCTGGCGGGCGGTCACCGAGAGCGCCTCCAGCTTGTTTGGCAGTCGCAGGTGGCGAAAGGCCTCCTTGATGTCCTTCTCGGTGATGGCGCTAAAGTGGGCGCGGTAGACCGTCTGCGGATTTTCCATTGACACCTGGAACACCTCGGCGATCGTGTCGAGAATTTCGAAGCAGATGTTCTCGCCTGTGTGAATTTAGACAGTTAGATGTGCTTAATAAGAAAAACCACTGCATCAACTCACCTTCCCTATCGCAATCCAACCAGAGGACGACGTACCGGGCGCCTCTGGCCTCCTTCTGCAGGAATCGCACCAGATTCATGTTCGGATTCGCCTCCAGGCGGACGATCTTAGCGTCATAAAGCTCCGCCGGCTCGCTCTTGTCCCAGCTCTTGAAGCGGGCCTCAAAGTCGCAGTTGAAGACGTGGCCGCAGACCGAGGTGAACTTGAACTGAATGTCCCGGTGGTGGAGAAAGGAGCCGCGGTACTCGTAGACGGCACAGGGCCCCGTCTTCCGAGACGACATGTTGCCATTGCTGAGGATGGTCGCCAGTGACTGCGCCAGCGAGGGCTTCTCGGCGATCATCAGCACCGACATGGTGGCGGGGTTGTCACCGTTGGGTTTGGGAGTATTAGACGGGAATTTGGGCCTAGAGAGATGAGAGGATGCTTCGGCTTTGGAGAAAGCAGTGCAGCAGGCTGTGATGAAGAGACAAAAAAAGTTCAGTGCTGCTTTTTGCAGTTTCTATTTTGCCGGCCGCTGCTGCCGCCTATGTTGAAACAGCGTCCGCGTTTTGGGACTGTTTTTCTTTGCCATGTGATTTTTGTTTTGGTGATCTTTTTCTGAGAAGAGAGATCTTTTGAAAGAGAGCTTCTTCAACGATGATGCCCGTTCTCAAGTTTCCGGGGTAATGTGAATTAAAAAAGATAGTTCTTTTGCAGATACTAACTTTTCTGTTTCTCGTTTTCAGATTGCTGGCCACATTCGCTCGAAGTTCTCTTCGGGCGCACGATGCGGCCACCAGGACCATCATCATCACCGGCAGCAGCAGAGCCTTCTCTAGCATCCTCCTCTCATCTCCCAACAACAGCAACAACAACAACATCTCCTACCAACTGCCTGATCACATAAAACCTTTTACCGGCATCGTCGGCGACCAGAAGCTGAAGAGGTCGCCCCTGCTTGACGGCGCGCTGAAGGACAAGAGGAACAACTTTGCAATACTGCAGTCGTCAATCAACGGCTCGATGACCGTCTTCTACAATCCACCACCGCCCACCTTTGACCACCCAACCGCGGAGCTTGACCTGAGCATAGCAGGCATCATGCGCAGTATCCTGCAGAAACAGCAGCAGCAGCAGACCAGCTACGAGCTTCCGACAGCGGACGGGCAGGCGAAAGAGAAGCTGGCCGACTACTACAAGCACAAGCACAAGCGCTTCACGCACCTCCTCTGGGTCCGCCACCGAAAGATGAAGAAGCACCAGCGGCTGAAGTGGCGCAAGAAGAACCTGGCGATGATCAAGCGGCGGCTGCTGGAGCGGAACATCGCCAAGGAGAAGCACTTTCGCGCCGAGCTGCTCGCCCAGGTGCGCGAGGCGGAGAACTTCAACGCGGAGGAGTACGTGGCGAAGATACTGCGCACCATCGACAACGTGCCCAAGGCGGAGACGCCGCAGGAGAAGTACCAGCGCTACCGAGATCTGATTCGCAAGAATCGCACGCAGACGAATCTGGTCATGCCCAAGTTTGATGACTAGGTTGGCCAGAAACTGATTGAATGATTGATTGAGATTGTTTTGTAGAGTTTTTCTGAATCTTTTTCTAGATTTATAATCAAATTAAAAGTAAAATTATTCTCTCTGAGCAAAGGATTTTGTGGTTTTTTGAGTCTCGAATTTGGTTTTCCAAAAGAAATCCGGAGACTATTTAGACACTGAACAGACGCTGCTGTTGTTGATTATGTTTGAAAAATGAAAACAAACCAATGCTTGCTTTTTGTTGGACAGGCTGATGATCATGTTCATCTTTCGAAGTACTCTCCTTCCTAGACTACTTCAAAATGTCCAGCTTTTCCGCCTCTTCGAATCGACTACCACCAGCTTCGCCGCCACCATCTTCGCCCTCTCGACGAGCATCAAAAACACCGGCAGCGCCATTGCCGTTGTCAGGCTCTCCGGGCCAAAGACGATGGCCGTCATCGGCGGCCTGACCAGTGATCGAACTGTCAACAGCCTTCAGCGGAATCCCCGAAAGGCCACTCTAGTCAGTCTGTACGAAACTGCTGCTGCTGGTGGTCAACAAAAACGGTCTCTAATCGACCGAGGCATGCTCCTCTGGTTTCCCGCGCCGCACAGCTACACCGGCGACGACATGGCCGAGTTTCATCTGCACGGCTCGCCGGCGGTCATCTCGAAGTTGCTCTCCGAGCTGGCCACCTTCTCCGGCTGCCGCCCGGCGACGGCGGGCGAGTTCACCAAGCGGGCGCTGGTCAACGGAAAGGTGGACCTGCTCGAGGCGGAGGGCGTCCGCGATCTGATCGGCGCCAGGACGGACGCCCAACGGCGCCGGGCGCTCAGCGCCCTCTCCTCAGCGGACTCTGCTCTGGCGGAGAAGTTTGAAGCCTGGCGGAAGGCGATCATCGGCGCCATGGCCCACCTGGAGGCGTACATTGACTTTGCCGAGGAGGAGCTGATCTCCGAGGACGTCCTGGCGGAGCTGAAGACGACCATTGCCGGTCTGGCCGGCCAGATTGAGCGGCACATCGCCCGGACGCGGCTGCGAAGTGAGCTGATTCGAGACGGCCTGCGGGTGGCCATCATCGGCGAGGCGAACGTCGGCAAGAGTAGTCTCATCAATAGGCTGTGTAAGTTTTTTTTGGGTGCAAATATTTTCTAAAACTCCCTTCCTTTTTTCCTTAAATAATCTAGGCGACAAAGAGCTGTCCATCACCTCACCGGTAAGCGGCACCACGCGAGACGTCGTCGAGTGCTGGATCGACTTTGCCGGCCACGCCGTCTGCCTCGCCGACACTGCCGGCATCAAGGACCTGGGCGGTGCCGAAGACGTTGCTGACTCCATTGAAAGAGAGGGAATCAAGCGGGCAATTGAGCGAGCCAAAGGCTGCCACATCGTCATCCTCGTCGTGGACGCGCAAAAGTACCTCCAGAGCTCCAAGGCCAACTCATCCCCGGCCGTTCCCGACTACCTCCTCCGCCTAATTCAAGACCGCTCCGAAACGGAGCTGCTGCTGGTGGGCAACAAGGTCGACCTTCTCCTTCAAGAAGAAAAAGGAAGTAAATTGCAGGAGGAGCTCCTTCGGGCAAACATAAACTCCGAAGACATCACCTGGGTGAGCTGCCGCAGCGGCGAAGGCCTCGACGACTTTACCGCGCTGCTGCGGCGAAAGATTGAGGCCTACGTGGAGGCGGACAGTGGTGGTGAGGACTCAAATGGTGGCGAAGAGCAGCCGACGCTCTTCTTCAATGAACGCCACTTGGCGCACCTTCAGGCGACCACCGCCCACCTGAAGGAGGTGTTGAAGGCTTTGGAAGGTGATGGTGGTGGTGATATGGCCATCACCGCCTCTCGCCTGCGACAGGCCGCCCACCAGCTGGCCTGCCTCACCGGACGCATCACCACCGACGATGTCCTCGACGTCCTCTTCAAGGACTTTTGCATTGGAAAGTAGTAGGGGTGTTTCGATTTGTACAAAGCTTGTATTTAGTAAATGTTGATTAGATGCAAAATTGAAGAAGAGAAAACGAAAACAACACAGACGCTGATGATCAAGTAGTGTTGGTATTGCCTGTTGACCACTTGGCCGCCTAATAGACGTAGATGGAACCGTCGCTGGGCTTCAGGTAGCCGGTGGCGATGAGGATGACGTCAATGAGCGTCCAGATGCCTAGACCGCCGAAGCTGAACAGCTTGCCGATGCCCTCCTGCCAGTTGCCCAGGTAGAAGCGGTCCACGCCGAAGCCGCCCACAGTTACGCTGCAAAAAAATTAGATTTAGAAATTGCATCACCGGGTTTGACAGTTAGAGACATTACCTCAAGAGCAGCGCCGTCGACCACTTGTACCCAGAGACGAGTTCACAGCGAATGTTTTTGTTGAAGCTGCGCCGGCCCATGCAGAGGACGTTCTCGCCGACGACGCAAGTGGTCGGGTAGCGGCTGTGAAATGCACACTGACTGCGCAGTGAGCAGTTGTACTGCTCCACCGGCAGCTGGTAGCAGAAGGCGCAGAGGTGGGTCATCGTGAACTTTTCCCTCTTGCCCTGAATGTTGGGAGGTGGGGGAATTAGAAATTGGAAAATATAATTGGAAAAATGACCATCTTCCTGGCCTTACCTGACAGGTAGCATCCGGGAGGGGCTCGCAGGTGGTGTTCACCATCGCCCCATAGGGACAGGAGTAATTGAAGTGGCACTTGAGGCAGTCGGGTTTCAGCTCGGAACAGGGCCCCTCGGTGATGCAGGCGGGATTGACCATCGCCGGCAGCCGTGCTTCACTGAAGACCATCTCCTGTATCTGAAGATTCAGCTGTTGCTGATGCTGCTGTTTCTGTCCATCCCCTTCACCTGAACTTGCAAAGTTGGCAGCCGACGAAGCCTTTGCTATAGCTCCCTCCTCTTGAAACTCCTGTTGACCGCCCACACTTTGCGAGCTGATCTGCTCGCGAAGCAGGGCACAGAAGAGACAGCAGACCAAGTTGAGCAGTACTCGATAGTGGAATCTCATTCTGCGGCTGCTACTGCTGTAGCTGGAGACATTCTTTGAAGATGAAAAATGACGACGACGACTGTTGCTGTAGCTGCTGTTGGCGATAACCAGAAAAGAATGATGAGCTTCGAAAAAAATGATGAAAATGCAGCACCTTCTCAATCACAACAACAAAACAGCAGCAGCTGTCTGCAGCATGTGTTTCCCATAGTGACCGCTTACGGCGACGGCGGCAGCACCTCCAAAAATAAAAAAATCAACTTTTTTATTTCCCGATTTCGATTTCAGACAACTCAAAATCATCAGACTTTGGTGCTCTAGTATTTATTAAACATTTTAGTTTTGTGAAAAAATGTCAAAAAACAAAAAAGTATTATTTTACTTATTTGATTTACAGTTTGCTAAACATTAGCTAAAACTGAACAAGGAGGTAATGGAGAGTAGTGTGACAGAAATTTCACTCAAAAAAGCATTGAATTCAGGAGACCTGCTCCCGATTCTTCAGCTGCTGCTGTTGCTGCTTTCTAAATCGCTTCTGCTGCTGTTTGTTGGTGGCGGCCCCCGCCTGTCCCCCGTGCTTGCCCAGACAGACCTTGGTGATCGTCTTGGTCGGCTCACAGTCGACGCTGTTGGGCGTCTGTCCGGTGCCGCCCTCCACCAGCGTCAGCGTCTTCGTCTTGACGCCGCCCTCACAGATGCTCCACTCGGACTTTTCGTAAGCGCATTCTATTTTGGTTGATATGTAAAAAAGGTTGGTTATTCGATTCATTACTGTGATTACTAGTTGAAGACTTACGTTTCTTGCACTGCTTACTGATCGCCTTCTCCGGTTTGCAGCCCGAAGTGGACACCTCAGCCTTCAGCTTGTCAACCCGCTCTTTGGCGCCGTTGGTGCACTCGCTCCAGACACCCTTTGAGTACTTGCACTCTGTGGAGGTGGAAGGTGGAAAAGGTTAAGGAAAACCTGTCGGACAACAGTTTTTAAAACAGCTTTTACGTTTCTTGCACGGCCGCTCGATGAACTTCTCTGAGGGACAGTCACTGTTTACCGGCGCACCGGCACTTCTACCTTCACCACCGCCAGCAGCACTTCGCATTGTCAGAATTCGTTTCTGCTTTCCTGTGAATTTAAGGGAAAATTCAGATTGTCATTGTGCTAAAAAACAAGAAAGTTACCAGTGAGCGCATCGCACTCCTGCCAGGGTCCCTTGTCGTAGCGGCACTCTACCGGAACAATAAAAAAGGTAAGATTAGATTATTTTTGCTAAATTGACCGCCACCCAAAACCGCCTGACTGACCATTATCGGCTACCGCCCGGTATCCTCGCTGAAGGGCATTCTGCTGGTGGTGATACTGGTACTGGTCGTGGTGGTGGTGGTACTTTGCCGAGACCACCGAAAGCTGCCAACAGAAGAGCACCGAACAGCAGAGGAGAAGTAAAAGTGAAGAAGTGCTGGTGGTGGCGGTGGATAAACGGTGGTCAGAAAGAAGTCGAGTAGCCATCCTCGGTGCAGGGCTGCTTCCAGTCAAATGAGCTTGCCTCAGTGAGTTTCAGCGAGAAGAAGATGGAAGTGAAGAAGAATCAGTGGAGACTGCTGCAACAACTGCTGAAAATCAGCAGTCAAAGTTGGATGCTAAATATAGAAGCACACTAAGGAAAGCAGTAAACAAGGCACACAGAAAGACAGACAGACGTTAGGAAAGAAGACGGCAAAGAGAGTTCTCAGCCCGTTCAGCTTTCCGCTCTTATACCACCACCAGCAGCAGCCCACAGCCGCCTCGGTAAGGCATTTGGAAATGCCTCGATGAGCAGCAGCAGCAGCAGCTGTCGAAAGAAGCGAAGCAGATGCTAATGCAGCAGCAGCTGAAGAAAAAGAAATAAAAGAAGAAGAAAGGGCAGACTGAGTGCACTGTCGTTGGGGAGAACCCGGGGACACATTTCCGGTGGTGGCTGACTGACTGACTCTGACTCTCCGTCACCCCCGCAGCTAATGAGGAAATTGCACTAATTTTTTCTGCTCCAAGTCAGATGCCACTTGCTGATAGGCAGTAATAAGGTTGTTGTGGTGGTGGTGACCGGCCAGCCAATTGCCACCAACTGATCGCCCTCTGTTACACACAGACCAGAGGCCACTTCCTAATTGTGCGGAGAGGCAGGCAACCCGGCAACTCTCAATGTCATGTCCTCTTTACCAGAGAAAGAAACAGTCTGAAGCTGGCTGGTCACTGCCACTGCACTGAGTGAATGAGCTCCCCAATCAACAACAACATCACAAGTTCGGTTCACGCTAAGAAAGTGGTTCTTATTTACAACAGGAAAAGTGGTGGTGGTGGAAGTGGTGATGGAAGTTTGTGTGGTGCACTGCTGTCAACACCGACAGCACCGCCACCACCAACATCGCCATCATCATCATCAGCAACAACAACATCATCGACTACTTCTTCAGCTACATCATCATCACCATCGACAGGAGGGGAAGAGGAGGAGGAGGAGAAGGAGGGGTGCACAGCAAAGATCAAGCTCTAGCTAGCTTGCTAGTGTAGCCTACAAACATAGGGCGCGATGATCATATGATGATGATGACCGGGCACTCAGCACACAGTTGAGCACGGCGTCAAACGAAAGGAGTCAGCGGTGTCTGTAGTTGCAACAACAACTGCAGACAAGCAAATGAGTGCAAACATAAATAAAGAGCGGAGATGAGAATTTTGCGTAGTGGAAGCGGTGCTGGTGGCGGCGGCGGTGCCAACGATGATGAAGAGTTGTTGTCTTTTGATTGTACAATGTGATGGGTGTGTTAGTGAGTGAGTGAATGAGTGTGAGTGTTTGGTGTATGTATTATTTGGTGCTAAGTTTCTACCGCCGGCAAGTCTTGACTGCCTAGTGAGGGTGATGATGGCGGCTCCACGACGTCCATCACTACTTTGCTGGTGCTATTGCTATTGCTGCTGCTGTTACTGTTGTAGGGAACAAAGATGCGAATCTTTGAGGGCGATGTCTGACTGTTGGTGATGCTCTCCCCTGGCTGACTACCGTGGTGGTGAGAGGAGAAGACCTTAACCTGATTGTTCTCGCTGCTGTTGCTGCTGTTGATTGCCGACGGACTATGGTGATTGTGAGTGCTGCTACTGTTCACCACCACCACCTTCTCCTCCGAGGTAGAGTTGATGGAGATGTACGTCAGCTGAGAGTTGCTGTTACCGTCTCCCAGTCCTCCTCCCTCGCCGCTGAAGCTCTTCTGCAGCTTCTTCTGGACAAACTTGTGGTGCTTTTTACTGCTGCCACCACCACCGCTCTTGCTATTGCTGGCGACGTCCTCGACGATGATTGTCTCCGAGTGGTGGTGCTCATAGTGCTGGCGGTGGTGGTGGTGGTGGTGGTGAGAGGAATGAGCTAACTCGTTGGCAGTATCTGGACCACCGTGTCCGTTTCCATTACTATTGCCATTGGAGTAGTGATTGTCAGTGATTGGCGGTGATGAGGATGATGATTGCCGGTGCGGGTAATTGTTCACCACCACCTCACACTTGCTCGTGTACACCTTCTCCTGTGTACTGCTACTGCCGGTGCCGCCGCCGCTGCTGCTGCTATTGTTGATTATCACCTTCTCGACGACGCGTGAAGAACTTGTCGGCGATGAAGCAGGCGAAGAGTGGTGGTGGTGGTGGTGATGGTAGTGCGGATGATGGGGGCTATTGTTCTGGCTGCTGCTGTTGTTGGTGTTGTTGTTGTTCGACTTTGGTGAGCTATTGTTGTTATTGTTGTTGAGCCTTGCGCTGGAGGTCTCATCGACGAGCGGTGATGAGCTTCGATGAGCCTCTCCGTCACCCTCCTCGCCACTGACCACCGAAGGCGACGACTGATGATGATTGTCGGCGAGGTTGCTGACCGCTGCCGCTGCCGTTGGCGTCGGCGTCCTCGGCTCGGGACTGGAGGTGGCATGTAGTCTGCGGTGGTGGCTGTTACTTCCACCGGCCACAGCCACCACCGGCGATGACGACCTCGACGAGGGCGACTTGTTGTGACTGCTGTGGTGACTGTGGTGACTGCGACCCGAGGGAGACATGGCCGCCGCTGACACGGCCAGCGCCTCGGAGGAGGACTTCTTCGANTGGTGGTGGTGGCTGTTACTTCCACCGGCCACAGCCACCACCGGCGACGACGACCTCGACGAGGGCGACTTGTTGTGACTGCTGTGGTGACTGCGACCCGAGGGAGACATGGCCGCCGCTGACACGGCCAGCGCCTCGGAGGAGGACTTCTTCGAGGAGGAGTAGTTGGACAGACGACTGCTCTGCCGCTGCTGTTGCTTAGCTGCCTCGATGCTCTCCGTTAGCGAAACGTTGTCGTAGAGGGACAGTGACCTGGTGGTGGTAGCGGTGGGAATGGGTTGGGTGATAAAGAAAAAGTTGTTGTTGTTTATTATTATCCTCATCAATTGAGTGATTTATTGATCAATTGCCGCTCTCTCAATTGATCCACCCCCTTCTATTTCTTCCCCATCATCGCCGCACCTCAAGTCCGTCTGACTGCCCGCCTCGCTGGTGCCCCTCGAGGTGGCCACCGAGGAGGTGTCGTTGACCTTCAGCTTGACACTGCCCGCGATGCTGTGGTCGTCGCTCAGGTGGCCCAGCTTCTCCAGGGCCAGGTAGCCAAAGGGCCGCGAGGGGAACTCATTTTCGCCGGGCTTCTCCGCGTTAAGCATCTTGTACTTCCTGTTAAAAGGATAGGTAGTTGTTTTTAGTGATGATCATCAGCTATGAGAAGTAGAAACAAGCCATTTCATACCTCAAGTCGGCAATGGACGTCTGCAGTGCCTGCACCGCCGAGTCGTCGTGGTACCCAAAGTCCTTCTCCAGCTCAATCTGCAAAAACTCGATCGTCTCCTCCATTGACTTTCGCAGTAGTGTCCCTGTTTAGTGTTTAAATAACTGTAGGTGTTAGTGAATGCTGCTGAGAAAAGGTGAACACTTGCTTTTGTGAAGCTTGAGAAGTGTGTAGCTCATCCCCGTGAGGATGATCTCTCCGTCTAGGAGAAAGACGTCCCAGAGTCTGGTAAAGAGAAACAAAAAGTTAATAAAACTCTACGTTTTAAAACGTAGAGTTTTAAACAGCAGCTTACCGTAACGTAAGGGAAAATGGAACTCGGTCGAGGAAGCACTGAAAAAACCACTTGAGCGTGTAGAGCGTCGAGTCAATGTCGAATTTCTTAATAAAGGCAAAAACGCAAGTTAGCCGGGAAAAGAGCTTGGAGACAATCAACGAGGTACCTTAAAGTGCTTCCAAACTTTGGGCAGAAACTTTTGAATGATTTTGTCGTGGTGCTTGGCAAAACGAAGCAGTTTTGGAAAGCCCGGAATGAAGAAGCCGTGCATGGCGTGCCGCTCGTCGGACATCAGCGCAGAGACGGACCAAAATGCGTCCTGCGTGCAAACAAAAACATTGTTTTTAACTGTGAAAACCACCACTATCACCATCTTCATCAACTTTACCTCCTCGTCCATGTACATGAGCAGCAGGGCGGCGATCTGAGACATGCCCTGACAGTAGCCCACCTCCTACAAAAAAGCAATATGTGAGTGAGAAACCAAACAACAACAAAAAAGTCACCACCCTCTCTCTCTTACCGAGTTGTAGACGCTGTAGGCGACGAGCACTCTGAAGAGCATCTGCTGTTTGGTGTTGTACCGCTCGCGGAACATGATGTGATTGCGATATGTGCGGTTGACGTCCAGGTCAATCTGGCGGACGTCCCTCGAGTGCTGAATGCCGTACTCGAGCATCTCCTGGTACTTGCCCGACTGCTCCTGCTTCAGCGTGTTGATGCTCAGCAGGCGGCCCCACACCTCGCCGCGCAGCGCATTCGGAATGCCCTTGTAGGTCCTCGAACGGAGCTTCTCATTGTCCGGAAAGTACTGGTCCCAGGTCTTGAGCATCTTCAGCCACTTGTTCAGTCGGCTGTTCTCCTGGTTTTTGATCTGTCAGGGTGGAAAGATGTGTTATGATTTTTTTTGTGTTTATAAACAAAGAGCACAGCGGAGCACTTACCTTGTTCTCGTAGTCAGGCAATCGATCTGGCAGTCGTTCGCCGCTGTTTTTTGAAGAGGGAAAGAGATCAATCAATAGTTAGTAACGCTAATAAATTAATTAAACGTCGTGGCAACAAATTACTGAACAAATCCATATCTGTCAGTGGCATGGTAAATGTCGAAATCAGGATCTTCCCAGGCGTTGATTTCCGTTTTATCGAGCTAAAAAGAAAAGGGTGAGCTTTAGGAAGTTCAATTAATCAAGCTACTCACCTTATCACGGCCCCTTCTGTACTTCTCAATGATGATCTCCCGTTCATCTTTGTCGTCCATTGTTTTGTTTTTATTGCTGTAAAGTGGTGATGATGAAGATGAGGAGCAGGAGGAGGGTGGTGCTTATTGCAACATGGAATGAAATAGTTTTGCTCGCCGCTTGCTTCTCCTTGACCATAACAGAACGGCCGAAGAAGAGCAGGCGGTGGTGGTGGTGTGATGATGGCACACAGCTCAGACGAGCAAGAAAAGAGTAAGAAGAAGAAGAGAGGATAAATCCCCTGCTCGGGCAAGGGAAAACGCAAACACACTACAACTAATCTCAAGAGTGAGGAGGATTTAGCACACTAAAATACTGTTTCGGTAGAAAAAAATCACTAATTGGAAACACCGTTTGAGGTGGTGGGTTGAGCAGCAGCAGTCAGAGAAGAGGGAAAGTTGACAGGCGGCGACGGCGTCTGAGAGAAAGAGAGGTAGGCCGCCGCAAAACAAACTGGAGCACCAGCACTCAGCTACCACCGACGCCGACGATGATGGTGATGCTGAAGAGGATGGCGACGAGGAGGAATGGTCGAGGAGTGCTGCTCCTGATGATGATGATGAGCACTGCTGACCTTTCCGATTCCTGTCCAAAGTGTCTGCTCACAGTTGTTGTTGTCCAAATGACAGAGCCCGAAATGGAAGCGTTTTGAAGCTCCTAAAGTTGATGTTGGCGGCGGTGGCAGTGTGGCAATAATCGCTGCAGAAGAGAAGAGCAGCAGACAAGAAGACTGAAAAAGAAGAAAAAGAAGAAGATACTACAACTCCTCCTCAACACACACACACACTCACACAGCGCAGCTCTCTGCTAAAAAAAAGTTTTTTCTCAAAACAACAAAACGACGCTATTTTCACCGCCACCGGAGCACCTAACTGTCAAATTGAGGGAGAACTTTTTTTTCTGTTTCTATTTTATTTCTTTTTCTATTTTGGGTTGTCGTGCCTGCCCAGTCAGTACTGCTACCGACGGGGTATTGATTTTCACCTTTAGAGACGATCGAAGATCGAGGGAAAGAGAAGAGGGAGAGAAGAAAGAGAGAGTGTTTGGTGTCCTGTGGGCGTTGGCGGTACTAACGATTTGCCCCACTGAACGAGCGAGTGTTTCGCCAAATTAGAACACCGTGTTTTTGTGCCTGTTGCCGAAGATGCTACTCACCGCGCCAAAGTAAAGAAAAGTTTTCAGCCTTGGCTGATGAGGACTACACTCCAATGAAAATGCCGCCTAAAACGCCCGTTCTCCCCAAAAGAAGCAAGGAAGATTTTCGCCTGATTGTTTGATGGCACCTCGGCCGTTGTTTTTGGTCACCCGATGCCTGCCGCACTACCAGGTTACCACTAGATTGGCGATGATGGTTATCAGGTGTATCGGTTATCAACTGCCTTCAAAGTGAAATGTAAAGTCGTCGGCGACGACTCGTCGCACTGGCGCCGTCAACAAAACGCAGATACTCACAACTGGCGCCAATGAGCCACAAAGGACCTGCCGTGGTCAGCTCCATCAACTGTTGATCATCTTTGCCCAACTCTGACCAGCTGACCACCACTCTCACGACCTTTGACTGCTGAGGAATACTTTGCCTGGTGCTTCTGCTGCTGCTTCACCAGCTCTTTCGGTGTGCCCCTTTGAAGAGAGCCGAAGAGCTGCTGAAGAGAGGTCTTTGTACTGCAATCGTTCATTTGGCATTCAAAGCTCTCCTCTTCTCATCACCGCATCCCCTCTCTCACTCTGCTTTCGTTCGCCTTATGGACAGCGCAATCAGCAGCAGCAGCAGCAGTGGCGACAAAGATTATCATCATCGGTCGGTCCTATCTGCCACCACTTCCACCACCATCGGTCACGTCTGATAAGCCGATTGCCAAGTGAAAAAAAAAGATGCAACATCATTCACTGCGTGAGAAGTGAGAAGCTGCAGCTGCTGCACTAAGAGATCCCCGAAGAGTCCTGCCAGTCATAATAAAGATTGCCCGGACAACAAAACAAGTGCACTAGGAGAAGGAGAAGGAGAAAAGGGAAAGAGAGGAGACACTTCAACCAGCCAGCCAGCTGCGACACTGCAAGTAAAGACCACGTCCTCTCGCGAATAAATTCGCTCCAGACAAGCATGGACGAACAAAGAAGTGAGAAGACGGAAACGTCGAAGAAGAAAAGGACCGTCGTCGTCACAGGTAAGTGCATGCCTACCAGTGCTCTACTCTGGTGACTGATCGATAGCACCCGTCTGACCGACCGACTGTCTTCTTCTTCACTACCACTCTTTTCTTTGCAGGTTTCGGCGTCTTCCGCAGCTACAGCTCGAATCCTTCCTGGGAGGCTGTCAGCCGACTACAGCCGATCGACCAGTCTCGCTCGCCGGGGATTGAGCTCGTCAAGATTCAGGTGCCGGTCGTGTACGAGGCGGCGGAGCGCGAGGTGGCCCGCATCTGGGAGCAGTACCAGCCAGAGGTAGGTGATGCTGACCACCGCACAATACTTTCCCTGCTTTCTAGGAGGATTCTAATTTAGTGTTTGTTGTTTTGCCTCCTTCTTTTTTCCAGCTAGTGGTCCACTGCGGTGTCTCCTGTCGGGCCACCTGTCTGACGCTGGAGAAGCGGGCGGTGGAGAACCTGGAACGCTACTGCTCGCCCGACGTGAACGCCTGCAAGCCCCTCGATGAGCTGAACAACAACAACAGCAACAACAGCTCAGCGGAATCTCAACCCCATCTCAAGTACTTCTGCACCGAACTCGATGTGGTAAGTGGCGAAGCTGTTTCGTTGATTCTTTTTGTTCTAAAACCCTTCCTCCCCCCCCCCCTGTAGGAGAAAGTGGCCCAGCGGGTGAATGAGCGTCTCGCCGCTGGCCACCTATCGATCGGCGCCTGCGTCTCCACTCGAGCCGGAGAGTGAGTGTGCTTCTGCTTCTTCCTCTTCCAAAAGAGAAGACAAGTCTCACCTTCTTCTTCTTTTTTCTAAATTGTTTTCCAGGTACGTCTGCGAGTACATCTACCGCTGTTCACTGCGGCGGAACGCCGCGCGGACGCTCTTTGTGCACGTGCCCGAGGTGGTGGAGGGCGGACTGAGCGCCGAGGAGATTGCCAGAGGCCTGCAGGTGGTCATTGAGGCGGTGCTCCAGGAGCTCCAGGTGCCTAACTTTATTGAGTAGTAGTGCTTATGTTATTGTGCAATAAAAAATGAAATAGAAAAAGGATAGGATACACAAGTGTGGTAACAATTGAGAGGACTAATGGAGTGGAAGTAATGATCAATGAAAAGGAAATGATCAGAAGTGATTAGAAGTGATAAGAAGTGGGCAGCTGGTCAAGCGGAAGCTTCTCCATGGCCAAGATGATTTTCTTTAGGTGAACACCTCGGTGAAGTTTGTGAAGTGCTGCTTTGCGATAACACTCGAGGGCTTTTGTGTGAATGGGGACACTACCAGTTAAATATCGGTTTATAAATGCATTAGAAAAATTGACTTTACAAGTTAAACAGCCGAAGAACCGGAAGTGTATGGCCTGGCAGTTGGGCAGTGTCCAGCTCAGATTCAGCCACTGCAATGTCGAGTGGTTATTGCTGACTAAGGTCAAATCAAGTGCCCGTACTGAGGGTAACTGGGTCAGTGGGAGAGGTAGTAGCTCATCTTCAGAATGGTCTTCAGCGTCAACTAAACCCAAATTTAAGCAAACCAGCTGTTGTAGTTGAGAAAGAGCTGTGAACAGTGGTCCAATCTCAGCTGTGCTAGTACAGAAGACAAACAGGTAAGTGAGAAAAGAGAACTGACTACAGAGAAGAGGAATATTATCAGAGGTGTAGTTTAGCGTCAAACGTCTACCATAGCGCACAATCTGATTGCGAAAAGGTTCACTCAAACTAAACAGAGCATCGTTGTCTTCTGCAAAGAGATGCACCTGAAGATTGACATTTTCAGTTGCATTGCGTTCGAGAGAGCGCAGAAAAGGACGAACACATTTATCCCCGAACTCCACTGTAATTGTCTTCAACTGAGCAAGGATGGTCAGAGTGCTTAGACCGGGTATTTCAGCTTCCCCACGTCCAAATTTGATGGCCAAGTGCTGCAGAGCAGACAGTCCGTTGA